CTATAGTTGCAGTCTGTAACTTCACTGTGTGAAGGGGCAACTATGGTGGCTGCAACACACGGAAGTCCCTATGTACAGCCAGTGTTCGGGTCCTGCCCAGCACCAAAATGCAAACAAAGTTAGCAAGTAGTTAGTGGACAGACTGGAGCATTTAGCTGCTAAAGAGCCAGATATTTTTCTTGGGGTTTGATGAAGGATTTAGCATAGCTCAGCACAAAAACTGGAAACACAGGGTAAGCCTGCTGGATCCACTTAGCCTGGATCTCTCCAAAAGGTGGAGAGTCTGGTTGTCACTGTGAGTGTTCCAGGCAACCAACCTTGGTGGTCTGTACATTTTATTCAATATCTTATTATTATATCAATCTTCTTATCTAAGTCTTGGCAAAGAAAATAAGTGAATAAGCATATTTTCCAAAATGTCAAATCAGGTGGACAAAATCTCCACATGAATGCTAATGTTTCTCCATATCTGCTGGGGCAAGTGATTGGTAACAAGTTCACCACAGCACCTTTCCAAGGTGATACTGTCAGTTAAGGCTGCTCAATTAATCGAAATTTGATCATGATTACGATTTTGGGGCCAAACGATCTCAAAACTAATAAAATCGGGGGGCTCATTTTCTGTTGTGCAACGTTGTATAGAAAAAAGCTGTGTCCCAATTCAGGGATGCAGCCCCTGAATTGGGACGCATTCGTATTTCCGTCCCTCCCCCACAGCATGCACTGCACATGAGTCAGTCACGTTGTTTTCGTTGAAACAGGTAACGCGGCGACTTACAAATGTTTATGGGGAAAGGAAAGTGTAACTGAGGACTTCCTTGCAAAGTGTTTTTGACAAATGTTCAATAAATGGAGCATGTTCCTGAAAATTATCGTTTGAATAATTGTGATTTCAATTTTGACCCAAATAATCGTGATTATGATTTTTTCCATAATCGAGCAGCCCTAATGTCAGTGTTGTGTTGTGTAAAGTCACCTCTGATATTTTATCTGCTATCAAAATACTACTGATTTAGCAATATATCACACACTAGAATGAGAGATTCACCAAGCTGCTATAATTCTGGCATGAATCACTGTATAACTCAACCAAATCTCCCACACGCACACTCACACACTGCCAATCCTGCGTTCCCTCAGTTCATAAAGCTGATGGAGTGGATAGTCTCAAACTCCCCCCTGCTGGGCAGAGCTCCTGCTGAAGGGAATCCTGCTGCTAGATTGTTGTTACAGGATATTTTCATCAGTTCCTACTTTCTGCTCGTGTTTATTAATAACTTAGAAGACAAACAGTCGGTACCAAGTCTCTTTAGAGGGTCTATTTGTCAACTGCATATGAGAATCACATTCTAACATGAATTTGTGCAAAGCTTAAAAGCAGTATGTAGTATGAGTCCCCCGTCCTCTGAGACACTCATTCAGAGTAAACTCAGAGTTAGGAATGTACTGGTCAACTCATCCACACTGCATGGTGAAAAGCAACTCTCATGCTTTTTATGTTTGTTCTATGCCGGATTTTCTTGTCAGTAAATGTGTATATACAGTATTGCAGCACTTTATTATTTGAATGAGATAACCGGGAACACTGGCACTCTTGGCTGATTTACATAAACCATCAAAATGAAAGCATTTATTAATGTGGCAGCAGATTTTTACTGTCTTGGTATGTTCATCTGTTTGGTAATCTGGTGTTGCACTTTAAAACATATTCACTCTTAATGCTTGCATAGGTGTTATCAGTGACACTTTCTTTCTGCTGCTCGGTGCTTAAAAAACAAGTTACATATTAGCAAGTGCTACACCCTCATGTAATACCCTGTAAAATATCCTGACGTAATCTTTTTTTTTAATTGTTGTTGGAGGCTCTCGCAGAGCTCATGCTATAGTAAGTGGTTTGTTATCCAAGTGCGCAGACGGGACATTTGGTTTCGCTGATTCCTGCCGTACAGGATCTTATGTACTCAGGATGTATTTATGTTGGATGATATATACGAGATGTTATTTTTGGACTTGCCAGCATGAGGCTTATTGTCGGGAGAAATGAAATGCAACAAGAGACTTGTGGGAACCAGAGGGCTGAAAGCCAGGTTTTGAAGCCAAAGATGAGAACTTTCAAAGACTGCAATCTTTAGAGTGCTGTGTAATTTTCCATAATGTTTTATCTGATGTATTGATTAGTAGACACAAAGGACGTATTTTCTTTGTACTCTGAGCAGTCGGAGCATCTAAGAAATCTTGAGAAATGATTTTCTGTCTGTGTGTGTGTCTAAAAGCATATAGATTTGACTTTGTGACCTCTCACTAGCACTGGGATTCTTAGGCGGCGCCCTCAGCTGTCTCCTGATCGAGTCTGATAAAGTGGAGGGGGGCTCGGCTGTCACCTTCAGAGACCCTTTAGCTCTGAAACAGCTTGTCTGAGACGTCCCTGTCATCTTTTAAAGTATCTAATAGAAAAGCTTTTACTAGCGTTCCCCGTTTTTTGATGAAACTTAACAGTGACAGAAATTCTGTATGTTCTCGTGCTTATTATGCTTTTGCTAAAACTTCAAATGCAGCAAATCCTCAGTTCAGTGAATCACTAACTGGAGTAGGAGTAGATGAGGCAGGTTGAGGGAAACAAAGGGGAACAAGGAAAGTGTTACACGAAACCAAACCATACTTATAATGTGAGGACATTGTTTTATGTCACTGGTATTTTGCAGACTTTGGATTACGAAAGAGCCTCTAACACCTTTTTAGGAGACCTATTTCTGATTTAAGATTTTCTTTCACCCTTGAAAAACAATTTAGACCGGTACTTTAAATGACAGGGTGTAACATGGCTCCCGAAAGGAAGCCATAATCATTTCTGTTCAGGCCATCAGAGCTCATCTTCAACCTGTCTGAAAGGAAGACCTAATCGGTTTTGCGCTCTGAAAATGCCTTTAAAACAAAAAGGTTGACATAGTTCTAGGACCCTAATCACAGATATACTTAATTAGGATTTTTAACCCTCTACATTTACACCAGAACCACACATTTGTACACATCTGGTTGGTATGGGAGTTAAAATGCCAGTACTGGTACCCTAGCCAAAGTCTGTGCTAATATTAAAGAAATAGTCTATATCATATTTTCATATGTTGTCATATGTTAATTATGCTTATTCACTTTCTTGTCATGAGATGAGAAGACGGATATGACTCGTGTTTGAGAGTGGTATCAATTATCTCATTTAACAAGAAAGCGAATATATACGTTTCATAAAATGTCACATGTTCATTTCAAGGATCTGTAAACCTTTTTTCCTTACATTTCTTCTGTCTTATCAGGGTGAAACAGTATGAAAACCAAAACCATAGCACGCCTATAATAAAACCAGGTCAGAATCTACTCAAATACTTGTATAATATTTATGACAAATACACAAGGTGAAATAATGTCATCACATCACAAACACTCCACCCCAAAACATCCTCATGCTCAAACAGGGAAGTGTCTATATTTAGCACGCTAACTTGGTAACAGTCTTTGTCCTGCGGGGCGTCTTTCAAACTAATTCTCGGCTTTGTGAGTGTGGCACTTCAAAGGGAGATACACCTTCCTGTGTAGCAGTGTGTTTAGCTTTGGTCATTCGTAACACTCTGCAGTAAAAATGGGCTGCAAGAGTTTGAATCAGAGAACATTCTAGCTCCCTCTCTGTCTCTGTTTCTCTCTTTCCTACCGCCTTTACCTCTGCTGGAGGTTCACTCAAAGAAAAAAAAAGAAAACACTGCAAATTGAAAACACAGTGCATGTCACAAATAATGGATTTATTCAGCCATGCAATGGATTTTATACACGTAGCTGAGATTATCTTTCTTAGCTCTGATGTGTCACTAATAATCTGCTCCAATAAATCAAAACAACATTCAGTTGTCTGTGAACATGCTCCTCTTTCCTGTTGGCTGTCTGTAGTCCTAACACACAACAGGATTTCAATAATAATTATAATGCTAATAATCTAAGGCGGTGTTCCCCGGCCTTTTTCCTTAAGGGATCCCTTTTCTATCATTGACTAAACTGCCGAGGTGTTATAGCATTATTGTCGTGGTTTTTTTTTTGCACCTTTGACCACAAACAACATGAGATGACGGTTATTTTCATGTTTTGCTAAGGGTTGAAACTGAGGAACAATTAAGGCACAGCAGAGCCCCCCATCTCCTCCCAGAACCAGCCTAGAGGACACTCTGTGAGGCTACAGCAGTGCTGTGAGCTAAATCCTAACATCAGTCTGCTGACATGTCCACATGTCGGTCAGGCATAACATTTGCTACAATTTGGTAATCAGCACAAAACAACAAAAGTACAGCTGAGGCTGATGGGAATACCATGAACCAAAGTACTGGACAAACTGAAATTTCAACCTAATGATGGAATTACCAAAGTTGTTTCCCTTAAAGAGATGCTTGAGGTGCTGGTTCCCTGCTGCAGCTCATCGTGACTCTTCCTTTTGGTACAGTTTCTCCCTGGACCATTTAAAACTGACCCACTGAGAAATAAGTGCTTTAAAAAACTGTTGGTTAATTACATGAAAGCACAGTGAAAAATAGCAGACGGTTAAAAAATACGATGCAATGTCTGCAGTTGCCTCACAATAAAAAGGTCTCTGTGTGATTCGCCCAGGGAGAGCTTTTTAAAGGAGCAGGAAAGGGAAGTTGGAATTATCAGTAACACAGCAGTTGCAGTTCAAATGCAGCCCTAGGAGAGAATTTTCAACTCTACAAAAATTAACAAGTTGGCCGCGATCGTTCTTTTTCCTCTGCACATTTAGACATGAGGGTATTAGCATTCAGTTGGGACATGGGCCACAGGTCCATCATAAACCAACATGACATCCGTGATCACAACAACCATGGGAGAGATGGAACGGTAAACTGAGAGGGCCAAAGGTCACCTAGAGATTTATGTTTATGTATTAGAAAATGTAAAATAAGAAGTACCTGTTTTTCTTATTGAATATCTATTTTGTTTCTCTACAGTCAATGCCTGGATGATGAGAGGGTTGTCAGGTAAGCATCCATCCATCCATCCATCCATCCATCCATCCATCCATCCATAACATAAAACAAAATCAAACTATATATCTCTCTCTGGGGGAAAAAAGTCATTGCTGCAGAAAAATAGCAACAGCAGAATACAGCAAAGAAAAAAAAGACTGTGGGAGTGAGACATATTGAAACTGACTTTTCTACTGTTTCAAGAACATAGCAGGTAAAAATGAAACTCATGATGAGTGTGAAAAATATAAGTTACAGCTTTAAGACAGAACCTAATGAGAAGTAGAAAAATGTCAAAAAATACATGCAGCATACAGCTCATAAATAATTCAAGAAGTCAAACGGCCACAAACGTCCATCTTTGTCATGTTTCATTTCAGTGATAATATCAGAAGTAACACACACAAAGCGGGGTACGTGACCTATAAATGCTCTGTTCTCTTCTTCTTTGTGTCCTCTCAGCAACTGACAGTTTCAACATAGAGCCCACTCCCCCCCGGCCGAGGAAAGCCTGCAATGAGTCCCGTCTGCAGTGGGAGGTGGAGGTCTGTGGAGAGGAATTCAAGCGGGACATGGGTCAAATAGATCCACAGTACTGGTGTAACCTCACACACTTCATCAGGTACAACAACATGTCGTGGTTTACCATCACGTATATAAAGAGTCTAAATAATAATATGTTTGTTTGCGTTTAAATCAGCATATATTTCTGCCACGCCTTAAAGTCTCCATGCCACCCTCTGGCCACCCCATGAATATTCCTCTAGATTTGCCTCTGATTGGGCCATATTGCATTTTACCCATGAAGATAAAAGTTGGTCTAAATTGTCAGTGGAAAAAAATAAATTATTGGCAAAAAAAGGTAAAAATAACACCTGTGCATCACCTTTAAGCTTCAAGCTTTTCTGTTGCACTGCACAACTAATCTGGTGGAAACTAATGAAGAGTTATGCAGATAAATCTCCTGAATATTGATGTTAAAACTATCAACTATCACTTCAATGTTTTCGGCCACACAGCAACCATCTTGTTTACTGTTACGGAAGAAACAGTAAACAAGATGGAATCTAATGATTAGGGAACCAAGCTCCGAAGTTATAAAAGAGCACATTTTGTCTGATTTCTAAATTGGCTTACGGACATTTATCCTCAGAGAGCCTAAGACCACTGTAAAGCGTTAGCAGTGTGTGTGTGTGTGTGTGTGTGTGTGTGTGTGTGTGTGTGTGTGTGTGTGTGTGTGTGTCTGTGTGAGAGAGAGAGAGATGTCTGTGTGTTTCAATTTGACTGAGTTACGACTCTGAGAAGAATCGGTGTGACGTTTTGTGTAGGTTGATGATAAATCAGTGGGTTGATGGAGGTGGCGGGTATCTGTCCAGTTTGATCCCTATTGTAATGTCCTCATATTAATTTACATCGCAACTGCATCCTGTATAGCTATGCCTTTGTCTGCATCACATGTAGCAGATGCATTCATTTAGTCATACACACAGAATCAGTTCAGTTGTAATTGCATTTTGAGGTATTTATCACTACCTAACCTGATTTCCCTAAATTGGATTTTCATCAGCCGCATACACTCCTACTCCTCTATGTTCTTAACAGCGTGCAAATGTACCTGTTTGCTTGTTTCTTAAAATAGGTTCTGGTGTTCTTCTCTGTAAAATGGTTCCCTTATTATTCAGACTCCGAAACTGGCCTGCAACAGAGAAAATAATCCCTTCCTCTTAAAAGGGAGCCAGTAAATTCTCCCTGTTGGCCTGAAATGCAAAAAGTGCTGTGTTAAGAATAGTGGAGAATCCCTTCTACACAAAGGATGCGACACATTTTAAGAGTAAAATCTTCATTAGTCGCCCAGTGCACCTAATTCATTAGACAATGATTGAGTAGCGAATGTACTACTGGAAGTAAATAATAATAATAATAAAATAATAAATACTGGAAGCAGCTTTTACGAGTTACTACAGAGAAAGTGTAGCATTTTGTGTAACAACCAGAAGAAAGCTGTGAAAGATAAAAGGCATCTGGGCACTAAAAAACATGTATATTTTTAAGATCATATCTTTATTGCTCTTCCTTTCTTCCTGTCTGAGTCTACTTGTGGTTTTATTTAAAGGGTTGTCACAGTGGCACTTAAAAGAAGAAAAAAAAACACTTAGGTTGATAGAAAGGCTGTAATCCATCTCAGCCTCCTGCAGCTGGTTGGATGTCTGTGGGTGGGAGAACAGTTGGAGGTTTGCTTTCCAAAACCAGAGCTGTATTTAAAAAGCATCTGATCCCCGACCACCCATCTGTATCTATCGTTATCCACATTTTCACCTCATTCCTTCCTCTCACCTTTGGCCTCCCACTTTTTTCCCCCTTTAACTGCAGAGACAGAAGGGGGGGGAGAGCTATGAGACTGGTTTTCTTGCACAATAAGGTACACATGGGAGATTCAAATCAATGTCAAAATAACCATCTGAGTCACAGATTTGCGGGAATAAAATCAATGATTCTGAGAACTAGCAGCATCATCCATCAGTCATGCGCTCTTTCTCTGTTTTTATTTTTCACTATTATTTCTCTCCAGGAAAATCTGTCAGAGCTTCATGCTGTTTATTCCCACAAGGGACACATGACTGACTGCCATGTATTGGTCTGGCTGTCAGCCGTTGGGAAGTCTTTGTTTAGCAAGTCACCAGTAAGAACACTGATGTCAAGAATGCCATTTCAAAGTGTAACACCAACAGCGTAATATTTAGTAAATCAAAGTTTGTTATGAGTGCTTTGTACAATTGCATTGTGTTCATTTTTGCAGTTTTATTTTAAGATATTGACAGAAACAATAATTGGATAGCAATAAAACTTGGTGCAATTGTACGTGAAATTAGATGTGTGCAATTCAAATGCAAGCCAAATGCCAAAGTTGAAATTGTCAAAGCTGCTTTAGTCAATATTTTTATACCAACAATGGATCACAGGACTACTTGTATGTGAAAGCTGCTCATAGTGCCCACAGACAAATATCACCCAACTTTCTAGTTTGGTTCTCAACTCATGGTCCACTCACTTCACTCTCATACTGTCATTTCCAGATGCAGCAGGGCAGCTGTTTTCTATGAAAAAGCTCTAAAGCTCCACTGTATACTACCTGAACAGCTCCAAATGACAGACAGACAAAGTTAGCAACTAGCTGGTGAACACAGTAGAACATCTAGCAGCTAGACTAAACAGAGATAAAAGAGAGTTAATATTGGATTCATCAGGTAGACACAAACATGACTCCAAATTAATGCTAATATCTCTTTGCTGCATTTGTAAATAGTCCACTGTCTCCAAGTGGACAAAAGACTGTTTAATGCAAGTTTAACAATGAAAAATTAAATAAGAGTGGGAATTAGGGAAATGAGGATATCAGTTCTTATCCTAATTTCAGTTGAACCTCTGAGTTGTCTCAGCTCTCCTTTCTCGTAATATATAATATTATAAAATATATAGTATATAGAGACAGCTAGAATAAAGCATTCATTCAAAGGTACATCAACACGAGTCACTTTAAACATTGGCCCAAATTTCTGCTCTGTCTCTGAATCTGGTATAACCGTGATCCTTCCGCTGTGGGCTTATAGAGTATCAAGCCTTTTACATTATAGAGTTCAAGTGCAAATGATGTCACAAGCCACTGGTATTAAAGTCCAAGAAGGGCTTTTCTGATTTTTGTTAAGACAGGTCTGAAGTAATTAATCCATGACAGGATTCTTCTAACTGGAGTCCAAGTCCATCAGCCATATCATTATGAGCACTGATTATCTAGTTATCATGGCACCTGTCAGTGGGTGGGATATATTTGGCAGCAAGTGAACATTTTGTCCTCAAAGTTGAAAAAATGGGCAGCGTGAGGATTTGAGCGACTTCGATAAGGGCCAAATTGTGATGGCTAGACGACTGGATCACAGCATCTCCAAAATGGCAGCTCTTGTGGGGTATTCCCGGTCTGCAGTGGTCAGTGTCTATCAAAAGTGGTCCAAGGAAGGAAAAGCGGTGAACCGGAGACAGGGTCACGGGGGGCCAAGGCTCACTGATGTACGTGGGGAGTGAAGGCTGGCCCGTGTGGTTCGATCCAACAGACGAGCCACTGTAGCTCAAACTGCTGAAACAGTTAATGCTGGTTCTGATAGAAAGGTGTCAGAACACAGTGCATCAAAGTTTGTTGGTATGGGGCTGCTAAACATTATGACCACCCTGGTGGTCATAATGTTTAGCAGCCAGGTGGCTCAGAGTGAACAATCATGTGATTGGGACCTTTATGTCACTTTAGATGGGCATTTGTCATGTGGGTCACTTCAGGACTGTGATCTGTTCACACTGAAATCTGATATGGGCCACATTAAAAAAAATAATGTGAACAGCCAAACAAAAAAAATCTGATCCGAGCAATAAATCAAAATTGATGGCTGTGGTTTACAGTGTGAACGTAGCCCAAGTCATGTGATTCAAGTTACGGTTTTGCTGGCTGCTCTATGTGCCAAAACCCTGTGGGATGTGGTGGATTTCACAATCAAAATTCATGAAGAATTCATTAAAACCTGCCAAAATAAAGTCCAAGCTAAAAATGACCTACAATAATCCTTTACAGATTGAAGAATTGAAGGCAAGTGAGCTTGCTTGTTTGATTGTGTGCTTCTGAAAAGGGGTTCTATTGTTGTTCAGCACTGTCTGACTTTCACTATAGAAGCATCGTCTTTTTCTCTGCCCCGCGGGTTTTAGAAGAAACAGCATAATAAGACTGTTCATCACGCCTATAAATAGTTAAGGACCCTTTCAAGTGCTGTTTTTGTCTACCTGAAGTGCAGGATGGGTGGTGTAATGTCCGGGCTCTGTTTTCACATTTTGTTCATACTCTGCTGTAGCATTAATGCCTACTCACTCAAAACGGAAGTGTTTGGAAAGGCATATTAGAATCAGGACCACCTTTAATCAAAATCTGATTTGTCAGTGATGTCTGATATATCAAATTGACTGATGGAAGAACATATCAACAAAGACTGCTTCACAGCTTAACTGTATCGGGAAGCACAGCGTGACTTGCCTTCCCAGGAACCCTGCCTGCATGAGTCCACACTTTCACCGGTTTGTTTTGCGTACAATACTTAATTAACATGACAGTGGAGGATACACAGACTTTCTCAGCAGCAGTTTACCTTGGGGCCTGGAAGAAGGTGATAAGAGAAGCGAGAGAGAGAGAGAGAGAGAGAGAGAGAGAGAGAGAGAGAGAGAGAGAGAGAGAGAGAGAGGGAAAGCGCGAATGCACAGGAACCAGAGAGTGGTGAGAAGGACCTGGCTGGGGGAGCGAGGGGCCTCATGTTTAAACAAGCAGTGACCCCTGCAAAGCTTCCTCTATTTGACAAATGAGCCGTGGCTCTCTGCAGTGATAGCTGCTGGCCAAACACTCGACCAACATGGCTGTTTATTGTGTGAAGTGAGCCGGTAGGTGCTTGTTGAAGACACAATACACAGTGGTAGACAGACCACCAAGAGGTTGTGTGTGTGTGTCTGTCCGTGCATTTACACACTTGAGTCATTTACCTTTAATAACATATTGATTTTTTGCCCTGGGAGCTGCAGCCTTAATGTTTAGCACACTGGAATGGGGGGGCAGTGACGTTGGTCTATCTGGACCTTAATATTCACTGTCAGGAATTATGGTCAGTCCCTGAATGAACCAGATGCTGCTCTAAAGTCATCAGAGCTTTTTCCTACTGCCACTAATGACAACTAATTGGCCATTTAGATGAGCAAGCACCATTTTAAGTAGGTTATGTGATCCACACGACTGGCAAGAGACTGTCACTGATAACTGTAAGCCAGCCTGTCATGGAGGGAGAGGACAGTTAATGGTTAAAATCACTTGACAAAGGTGGTAGAGTGTATCGATAAAAGCAAAATGTGGCATCTGATCCTGTCTTTCCAATGACTTTGTTCGTGCCACCTTTAAAATTTATTTTGAGTTCTGTTCTTCCTTATGCTTTTGCTTAATTGTCATAATTAATATCGATCATATAAAAAGTTTTAAAAAATGGATGTACTAGTTAGCAGTCATCAGTCCCCAAAGATAAAGCAACAAGTTATATATAGACAGCTGGATTGCATATATTGTGTGTTAATGTGTGTGTCAGTTGTATGCATATGTGTAGATGTTAGGAGTATTTAAATGTCAATGGGATCCGTCTTCACTAAAATGTATAACTGGATGTGCATCAAATGACCACATCCATAGGCAGTTATAACACCATTCAGAAATATGGATGTGCAAAGTTTTCGATTAAACAGATGTGTTGCGTTATCTTGTCTTTCAGAGCAACTAACCCTCCTCAACATTTCTATCAATGTGGGTTTCACTGACAGCTTTAATGTCTCAGGGGAGTTATGGAATAACATTCTGAGGAAAACATTACATTTGGGCATTAAAATGTTCAAATGAGATACTAAACATTGGCACAAAATGATATCAAAAAGTTATCAGCAGCTTCAGAATCTGTGGATGTGTACATGTGCACAAATATATTGTAGCTTATACAGTTTGTGCTGTATATGTGTTTCTATGCATGGTCATGTTCACAGTAAAGATATATAAATATATATATATATATATATATATATATATATATATATATATATATATGCCAAATCCTTCCTCACACTGGCCAAAATCTTCCCAACTTCTTACCCTCCCAGCTGATTTGTGTGTGGACAACTGTTTGGAAACCTGTTATCTGCTGTGTATTACATCTGGGAAATAACTTCATGTCTGTTATTCCCTTATGCCCGAAAGCTCTGATACATATATATTTTTAATTTCTTTTATTTTTTTTAGCACCCAAACATTCTCTCTGCCACCATTTTTCAAGATCTCGGCAGTAGCATAAACCACATTTTTAGAAAAGATTTGATCTGTCTTTTTCAGTTTACAATTTGTTTGATAGAACATACTATTAACTTAGAGCCATACAAATCTGTAGTTGATATATTAAGATTACTTTGTCCATTTCCCTGCATTAACATTACCAACATTGTTTGAAATAGTGCTAAACTTTTTTTTCACAAGAACATATACTTTCTGAGTCTTCAGATTTGACAGGAAGCTTTTCTGAGCTAAACACTCTTATCACTGGTACATGGTGCTGTTTTACCGCCTATGCACTGCACTATATCTCTATATACAGCATCCACACAATATATGTCCCCTACATTTTATATGATTTGCAGCACTTAAGCAAAGGTCTTTCAAAACAATGGCTGCAGCTTGACGTCAGAGATTAACTTATGTGTGCTTTACAGAGGGCAGTGGGTTGAAACAGTCTAATATATTAAATGTCATAATGGCTTCTTGTTCCTGGTAATGGTTGCTGTTTTCTATTAGTAGGGTGGCGATTAAATACAGCACCTATGCATAATGTTCGAGATGTTATCTTGTAAGTCAATGACTGATTGTCATCACTAATGTTTATGCGTGTATTTTATTTTTTTTCATTTAGAAAACCAAGCAGTAATTTGTGAGCTGATTGGTAAAGCTCATTAGGACTGTGCAAAGTACTCTGAAGAAATTACTATAACCTTCTCTGCATGTTTTCTGGGAAAAAATAAATAGTAGTGTGTGTATATATAAAAACTACAATGTTAAAAAAATATATATATTAAGCAGTATTAGGACAGTACTTTATTTTAGTAAAGATGCAAATTAACATATATCACTAAGAAGCTATTGTCTTTATATCAATTAGTTTAATAATATGCTAAAATAAATTAAACCATTATTATTATTTTTATTGTTGTTATTATTATTTCATTATTAGTTTATTATTATATAGCATATGAAAAAAAAAGAATTAATATAAAAATAAATATGTTTCTGTTTTTGGACTAATCTCAAATGCATTTAAGCTAGGCTAGTAAGCTTTTTGAAAGGATTAATTTAAATTGATTTTTTTTTGGCATTATGCTTACAATTTTAAACTCAATTACTACTGTCTCATCAGAACTGATCAGAGACAGGTTGGAAAAAGAAGGTATATTATATATAATACATAACATTATATGGTATAATAGTATTATATTATATTAATGTTATTATAAACTGACTTATATGGAGTCAGTTTGGGCATACATTGAGACAATAAAACTGTTCCGCTGCTGAGAAAACCAATAGCTCCTGAATGTCATGAGAAAAAATCTGGACCTGGAGGATTGAGTATTCAGGATGGAGGGATTAGGGCTGGCTGAATGGATTCATCAAAGCAGAGCTCTAAGCCTGGAAAGCTCCATGAAGGCTCTGAACAGCCCTGAATGCCTGTTGAAATAGAGGAGAGTACTGGGCCAAAAAAGGGAGTTAAAGGCGGTATATCCCCAGTCACAATGATGGATTACTTTCCAAACCTCCAATGTTTAGCTTAACCGTAGAAGGGTATTAAATGATTGTGTGCCCTTCAGAGAACCTGGCGTATTATACGTAAGGTCATTTTGAGTCTTAATAGATGGTATGTCCACTGCCACTTTGATTCACATTTCAGTAATTTCATACCTTGAACTGTGCCCTTTTTTTGGAAAGTAAAATGAAAGTAAAACAGATGTAAATTTGATCCAAAGTCAGAAATCTACACGTGATTCTCTCTGCGTACTTACAGAAGTCAGTAGTGATTTTCTTTTAATCTTTCCCTTCTCTTCCTCCCATTTTCTCCTCAGTGAATACCACATCTTCACACTTTGCACAGAGGCAAAGTCCCTCGTCGTGCACTGCTACTGGCCCAATCCACTGGTGGAGAGCTACATCATCCGCATACACAAGCACTTTTTCTCTAACTGCACCATTGAGCAGGTGGTATGGGTGGACCCGCCGGACGATACGCTAACCATCCTTATCCTCATCCCTGTTTTCCTCACATTGGCCATGATCGCCCTGGTGGTCTGGTGCAGCAAGAGGAGTGATATCCTAGCTTAGGAGGAGAGGAAGATGGAAAAGGACTGAGTTCAAGATCCCAACATCTCCACCAAAACAATATTGTACAAACGTGTGCACAGACGTTTTGGGAGATCGCTTCAGTTGGTCAAATTACCCCATAAGTAGCGCGGCAAATGACCTAAACTTCCTGTGGAAATGAGGAAAGTAGTGCCTGGTAGTACAAAGTTGTATTTGATATTTAATATTTTAATATTAATATTATATTAGGTGTCACTTTGAACATTTCTGACATTTATCTACTATCATTCAACATGTTCATCTGTTCAACAGGTATTTTAAGCACAATTTAATGTGAAATATGAATATGAAATATATATAAAAGCATTATAGTTGCTGGTAGGTGGTTGTGCCTTTGGATAGAGCCATAGCCTACTAGCTGTTTCCCCTTGTTTCCCATCTTTAAGCTAAGCTTACTAGCTACTTTTAGCTTACATACATGAGAGTGGTATCAACCTTCTCATTTAACTCTCCACAAGAAAGCGAATAGGCGTATAATTATAAAATTTTTACGTCAAGACACAGAAGATTATGTTTGATTGTTTGATGCCATCACTTATTGGGTAACTTGACCAGCTGGACAACCGACCAAATCTTGGTGCATTCTTTAAAGCCCATGGATCTGGGCAGTTAACCTCTGAGATTCTTGTCAGAGCACTGTATCGTTGCTGAAGGCCAAAGTATCCACCAAGCACCAGAGGCAGTGACTGAACTCTAAACTGGTGGGAATGAGACTCCCAGAAGACTCCGTGTGTTAAATATTTGAAAATGATACTGTATGATGGTTTGGATACAAAAATAAGCCAAATGTGGACTTAATATTGATTCTGCAAGTTTTATCTTATTGTTGAGTTACTGAATGGACTGTCACTACTGGAAAGGATACACTGGTGTGCAACCCAAAGACAAGGCAACACTATGATTCACATATTTTGGGACTTTAATTTCTTGTGTGACTACCTGAGCCTCAAGAGACTGTTTTATAACAGTGTAACTTATCAGATACTGTTAAATAAAATACTGTTAATACTCACAAAGAGGGGTTCTCAATGAAATAAAAACCTATGAACTGACATTGAGACCTCAAACTGTACAGTTATGCTCTGTGTCCGTGCTGTCTACTGTATCTGCATTTCCTCTCCAGTGTTACTCAGACCAGTGAGAAATACACACTGATGCTTTGAAATGAATTCCTTTGGGGAAAGGCTTGATTTAATGTACGCACTTCATTGGTTCTTTGAACCGCAGTCCTCACCAGCCATAAGGCAAACTAAACCAAGCACTGCTTTTTATTTTCTTCCAAAGCATACAGCATCAACCTCTGTTTGTCGGCTCTCACCTGCACACTTTTGTCTCTGGAAGCTGAAACTCCTCAGCAAAAGTACCCTGATTAAATTTATGTTCAAACAACTGGTTGCTCTTCTTCATTACATGAACAAAGTAAGTACATAAAAAAACACTTTTAACAATTCTTTTCAATCTAAGCTTATGTTCATGAATGTTTTGCTAAACCAGAGGCTTCTTTGATTTACAGTCAGATAAAAAAGTGCATTTCTTGATTAAATACAACCTTGCCTAACACTTATAAACCACAGATGACAGCAGTGAAAATATATCAGTCAGATTGCTGGAAACCTCGGCCTCTTAAAATTCTTTCTTCTATTGCTTTCTGTATTCTTTTAAAATCAAGATTTAAATAGATTGTATTTGGTATTTCAACAGGTTGGATTTGACAATATTGTTTCATGGCACAAAGATTACAGTAAAACGGGACACTAATAACCTTCTTCAAGAGGAAAATGAACTAGAGAGATTCTGCCAGAAGAAAAAGTAACATGTCTCTCATCTCACCTGGAGTTCAATCAATTAAAGAATCAGGTACCAACCTTAAAGTTATAATCCTGATTTTCATCAAATCAAACCCCATTTTAGCCTCTCTATATAACAGTTTTCATTGTTGGGTGGCGGAGTCCGTCATTCCTATGCTAGATTCAGACTGGCTTCCTAGTTTAGTTTTCCAGTGAAGTCTCCCTTTTAGACTGGACTTTTTGGTAGCATTATTTCAGTGTAACCTACAATTTCCCAGCCCAAGGCCATGAGGTGCAACAAACTGGATTCAAAACAAACTCTCACATGTTCCACATTCAGTTAAGTGCCTTGATTTATCACAAGGTCTATAGGTGTTTGCTCCATGAAACAAAACTGCCTGGAGTTTGTTCGCTCTGAAGTCATTCAGCAGCTGCTCCACACACCTGAGCGCTCCCTCTTTATAATTCATGTCATCTGTCATCTCAGAGGTGTGTGAACATGTGCGTGTGTAACTAAACATCCATCACTGTCAAAAGGAAGAGTAATCATTATGGTCTTGCATCATCAGATTCTGAAGGAGCATGATCATTTTATGATTTGAAGATCTGCTCGATGAATTATTTACTACAGATTCTATTTAAGGTCACAATTAAACTTGGATCAAAGCTAGAACGGTGCTTGCCGTCCTAGTTTGCTATTCCTCACTGTGGTTGTATTGGTTTCTTCAGTGATCTGGAGAAAGGACTGTATGACAGAAAACTGACAGAGAGACCCAAAGCTGCTGACACTACAATCTCCGATCTATGCAATCTGCATTCTGCCATAGAAGCGTGAAATTAATCTTTTCTCAACTTTATTAAGCCATACATAGTTATTTCCATGTTCAGCAACATTACCATAAGAAAGGTTTACAGCCTCACAATTGCTTTGACAAATACACGTTTGAAACAACAGTAAAGCCACAACATGAAGATGGAGTCTTATATTTACTGATTTTTACAAGCCCTAGAAGTGATCTCAATTATTCTGTTTTATTAGAATTACATGAAGTCATCAAACGACATGAACCAGAAAGAATTATTATTGGTATTATCATTACTGGGAAAGTTATTTAACTTTCAGTGGATAACCACTGATAGTTAAATAACTGCCCTTGTGAGGCAAAGTAAATCTATTGAAATATTTGGTGTAGAGTGTAACTTTGATAAGCAAATGCATGCTGGTGAAATGGAAGATGCTAGTTTATTAGTTGTGTTGCAGCTACTTTAATTTACTTTTTTAACTACTTACTTACATACCTACCCACTTTTATTTGACCCTCTGCCAGGGTATTAACATTTCCCCAAAAATAGGTTTTTAAACATTAATTAAACAGGAGTTGATAGCACAGATATCCTGTTGGATAAACTGTGTTAACTCATTGTCCTGTAGTGTCCAAGCTAACAAGTTTGCTAACAGACAATTATCAAAAAAGCACAGAGAGAGAAGAAAGAAGCTCGGAAAGATATTGGGTAACTAACCCTAGCATATTACCAACTTGCAAGTGCGGTAGCTGTTAGCTCGTCACCCACCGTAACTACTTCAAACTAGCCCGACAAGAATTAAAATCTGTTATTTAAATAAGTAAGTTAGTAAGTAAGTATTAAAGTATTTAGTTTGGTTTATTGTTAATGGACATTGTTTTTAACTTACACCTCAAACTATTTATAGTACTCATATAACCGTATTAAGTTGTCAGATATTGAAAACTTACTAGGTGTAAAGATGGCAATCTTTCCCACCGCTACCATCCAACCCACACAGCACACCTGTGTACCATAGGTGTGTAGGGCCTTTACAGTATGTATAATGCTACAAAAAATATGTTTGGAGCTAAAAACAATATATTGTGCTGTTTGGTAGAACTCGTTAAACTGTTGTTGAGTCTGTCTCTGTTTATTTAATTTTAAATGAAGTCTCTTGCGTTCTCCCTGCTCTTAGATGAGGTGGAAAACAGAGTGTATGACTTCTTTCGCACTCCAGAGGAAATGTACTGTTGGAAAATGCATCAACTTTGTTCAGGCACAACGCCTCAGAACACTGAGGCCCTGGGAGAGTTTACTCAGGCAAGCATGTGTGTGCGTGCATTCAGACTCAGACATTATTCTTTCAGTAGGACAACAATATTATCTCGATCTATACAAACAGCCGGACGGCTGAATCCTTGACAGCTTAGCTATGTGTCTGTGTAAACCTTTGAAACAATACAAACACAACCCAGCTATGCAGTTTCAAATCTTATCACTGCATCATGTAAATAAACCCAGAGTCAAACAATGCAGTCATCGCTGTCAGTGGGTGATGGTTAGTGATGTTGACATTGCTGTCGACACTCAGTCTAATCTTCCAGTGGCTGGACTGTGAGGCACAAAGCCGGAAATTACAAATTCAGTGACCACAAAACAATCACAGTATCATTACTGACTGCACCTTAACAATCAAATAGTTAGATATCAGGCAATATTTATTCCATCTGAAACTGTCCAGGAAACGAAACAAGAGTTTTTTGTTTCTTCTGAGAGGCAAAACAACAGGGTTTAGGGACACAAACAGAGGAGACAATTGTTCACTGTGCCGTGAGGGGACATGTTGCAGTGCAGTTGCCCTCAAGGATGGCTTTTCACAACGCCTCCACAGCCAGCCTATTGGAGGCAGGAAGGATATTAAAGCTTTTTCCCAGAGTTGACAGAAGAATACAGGGAAGTGGGTTGACCCAGCGGTTTTGACCAAAAGCGGTGCAGGAAGTGCGAGAGTGCCATGCTTCCACGCAGAGCTGCACTGTTGTGACGGGTGAGCGGGTGCTGGCAGGGCACAAAGCACTGCGTCTCAACTGTGGCTTCTCAAGGTTGATGTCAATTTCTGGCATTGTATTATAGTTATTTTTTGCCAGCATTGTAATATAGAAACTTTTGAATTTTTGCTTGATAGTTTTTTTCTAAAAACTACACTGGCTTAAACTGCAGAATGGCTAAAAGTCTGCAGGCTTTCACTCTACCAATCATCTCAGCAGGTGATTTCACTTATGAGTTCCTTCCCTCTACAATAATCAGTGAAATCAGCTCCTGGAATAAAGAACTACAGACGTTTGACCCTCTATGGCACAGGGTTCCCCATCCTTTTTATGTGAAATCAGATTAAAATGCTGCATAATAATGAGGGAACTGGCTATAGTCGAGGAGGAGCCAAATCATCTCATCGTGTCAGATTTCCAAAACGCATAAAACATGAAATATCCACCAGCGCACAGATAAGTTTCGCTCATTTTAAACACATCTGTATATCTATTTGATGCCAATTCATTTATGTAGGTATGCACCAACATATTAGTGAGGATGTAGAGTTACGATCCTAACTCCGGCCCTAAAACAAGAATATTCGGCCCCTGATTAAAGTTTTCACTTCAATAGTTAGAATTAGAACAATTTTTCATACATTCTCTGTAGACAACAATATAAACAATGAAATAATATAAATAAAAGTCTCATAAGAATTCCAATAAATATGCCTTAAATGACTCAACTGTTTATTGTATATGGATCAATTACATCTTCAGCTTCATAGTGTAATATAGAACCTACATTTATGTATACAAGTCATTTTTTGCTAAATGAGTATTATTACAAGCTGCTATAATTCTCAAACCAAAATGACATCTGTCGTAAGATAAAAAACTTGTTCTTAAATTAATTGAAAGAAACAAACATTAAGACATATGGTTCTGTTTTTCCACTGTGCTTGTACAGCTTTGGCCCCCGATGAACAATATAGAGGATTAGGCTGTAAAAGTTGACCTGTTCAGAGATATATATAACAGGCCTTTTAACACATTTCCACATGTCACTGTAGGAGAAGCACTAAGCTACTTGAGTTTGATTTAGCTGCTTGGTGTTGTGCATGCTGGCTCACTGTCACACTGTCACACTGTCATGGATAATGGTGCAGTCAGACAGGATTTCGCCTCCCCTTTATTTGTTTTTGGAACAGTGGAAATCTGCAGCAGCCATAATTTACTTTATAACATTTATAACTATAACCCACTAGCCATGCTACTTCCAGCAGTGTATGTTTACAAAATTCCCATCCTATTTCCTGTTCCATCTGCTTTTTGCCACACCACCACACGAGTATATTTTGCCTGACGAAATCCGATCTGGCTGCAGCTTAATTAGGACCCTGCTGCTTTTCTGATTACGACAAGACAAAATGTCTGCCCTAAAAAAGGCAGATATTAAATCTGTAACATCAATGACTCATTTTTCATTTATGTACCGTACTTTTAAATTTTTGCTTTAACATGATACATGCTATAGCTCATTCCCTGAACCTGTCACTTCATTTGTATTATAGAAAAACATTTAAGTGTCCTGTCTCAGTAAGACACAATGTATAGAGGAAACACGGATTTTCATATATGTTTTAATGGCTGCTACTGTTCTCTTAGTTTCCCCCATGAATTTCCTCTTCCACTGTTCTCCTGTCTTAATCCCAGCATGCACACAATCATGTTTTCAGATGGTTCTATTTTCGATGTAATGTACACAGTGTGACTGATCACTGCAGGG